GCTTGCACCTGGCATGGGCACCGTAGCCAGCCCGTGCCCCTTTAAGAGGTCCGGGGCCGGGAGGGGGGCATACAAGTTTCCTTGGTGTTGGCCAGAGTGGCCACCAGGGAAACCTGGGGAGGGCTAGCCTCCCACTAGTTCGAATTAAGGGGCTACACACCCCTTAATTCGAACTAGCTAGTTCAAACTAGGCTTAATCCTCGTAAAATGAGGTTTTCCTAGTTCGAACTAAGCACTCCGCTAGTTCGATTTAAATTCGAACTAGCGGCGCGCTAGTGTAGCGCCTATGAAAGTTAGTTCGAACTAACGTCCGTTAGTTCGAACTAACATTGTAGTGTAGACATAACCTAGGGGGCTCCCTGCTGGTCCTAAGGGTACTGCTGAGGGAAAAGTCTCTGACGGCACGTGCACGCTGCGCACACACACCCATGTTGGAATGCACATGACCAATCACTCAAAGAAGAATCTCTGAATTCCAGTTAATTGGTTTCTTTTATCATCTCTTTTGTTTAAACAATTTTCTTCCATTTTAAATGTTACACATGCATAATGATTGATGTTTAAGAGTCTTTCTATCTTTCCTGTGGGGCATGAGCCAACTGTGACTTGGAATCAGCTTCATGGAGGTCATCTTTTTTATTCCCATAAACAGTTCTTTTTCCTAATCAGGAAAGGGAGCAAGTGCTTTGGAGGGGAATGAAAGAGAGATTAGCTAGCTTTCATGGCCCTGATCATTGCCAGTGTAATAACATGCAGAGACCTGTCATGCAAACAGCATGGAAACCATATATCTTCAGGAACTGAAGACACCTGGTTCCATGATAGAAACATGTGGCATCCAATTTTTCACTTCACTTTTCAGACAGAGTTTTGGATGCCTTTCATAAACTGGAAAAAGAAATGCCATGGAACTTTTATATTTGAGACTGAGTTTAAAATCCCTAGGGGATAGACAGCAGCTATGGAAAATAGTCCAGAAATGGAACTGGTGTTGGTCTGTTGCCCAGGACAGGAAGCTGGATTCCAGCAGGTTGTGTGAGGAGTCTCTGCATGGATGGTGGATTGGGATGAGGAGACAAATATTTCAGAGGCAAAGGTCAGAGGATCCATTGCTGAATGAAATCTCTGGCCCTCTTTTTTCAGTGAAAAAGACACGATAAATGTTTATAGGGGCCTGTGTCAGCACTCTGAGATCAGTCCACTGGTGGTTGACTTAGTGGGTCTCGTGAAGACCTGCCAAATCAATCACAGATTGCTCTCCCATCAATCTTGTTCTCTACCCTGGACCAGAAGAATAAGGGAGAGTTTCTCTTGTCAACCCCCATGGTGTTGAGCCCATGGTAACTTGATTTCAGGTATGTCAACTGAACCTTTACCTTTAGCTTAAGTTGACTTTCTGCTGTAATGTAGATATAGCCTAAGAATTGAAAGCTCAGAAAGTGTGAGAAACTTGCCAGAAAGCACTGTGGCCTAGTGAATAAGGCATAGACCTAGTGGTGGGAAGATCTAGGCCTAAATTTTCAAAATGATGCATTTAGTTTTGAGCTATAGGTTCTAATAATTGTTCTGATATTAACTTATTATATGACCTTGGGCTATATGATTGTTTACCTCTCTGAACTTTAATTTCCCTTTATTTAAAATGAAGATAGTGATAATTTCCTCCATAATAAACAGCTCATCAGCCAGTGGCATAGATGGGATTAGTATGCAGGATTTCTTGGATCCCAGATGCTGCTGTAACTTCCAAATTCACATGATTCCCCCTCCTCTCCAGTAACGATGGTTTTTTATATTTCCACAAATATCTACATTGTGACAAATAACTTGCTTATAAATCTCTCAAGAACATGTCAAAGCTACTGGGCACCACACATGATTTTATTAGGAAAACTTTCACAGCGACTCATATCTGGGAGTGTTGTTTTATTAAATGAGAGATGTAATGCATGTGGCCTTTCAGAAGATTTCCATTCTCTGAATTAAGTCTTCCTAAAATTGTCTCCTTAATCCCCAATTTCATAGTGCTTGGCAATGTTACTTGTTCTGAAGTGCTGTGATCAGAAAGTGGAGTTTTCTTCTCATTTGCTGCTTTTAACATGCACCTCCTTTGATAGGATAAGAGCAGCAAAAGTCAGATAGGTCTAGCGTCAGCTCCATTTCTCATTAGTTATATAGCATTGAACAGTTATCCAGGTACATTTGCTGTCCTCTGAAATAGCAAGTATTTTCTGCTGGATATAAGACAAAGGCCTTGATTCACCAGATTCCAGTTGGGTCACACTGATGTCACCTTGCAATAATGCAGGGGTGAATCATCCCCTCCCATACTGGGATCAACCATCTACCTTTCCCCCCACCCCTTTTCTTTGGCAACACAGGAAGGTCATGATGTTTATGACCCTCTGACATCTATTTGCAACCCAGACACTGCAAGTCACTACTTTAATCTCTTTGGTAAAATACGGCATATGTGCCCATGATTGCATGACTTTAACTGTTTTATTCCTTCCTCCAATAGCCGTGAGTATGGAATCGGATGGAAAGGATCATTCTGAACAGACAGATGCACCACATATGTAGTCTATACCAGTTTATTCCTGTGGTAGGTATTTCTTTAAGTGATTCCCAGTTATTTTCAAATCAATTCACCATGCCATGTCCCTCTTTTTCTCCTCTCCGCTTACCAATGTTGTTTCACATCTCCCCCTTCTTCCTTTCTGCTTCCTTTTCTTAGACTTCCGTTGTGACAAAAAATAGCAGCCCTAAGCTAGTGTTTCCTTTGTCTTTGCTCTTTAAAAGCTTCAGTTGCTGCTCAGATGAGGTAGCAGGCCTCATAACACAAGAAGCACATTTTCAAAACCTAATGTCCTCTGCCACAGATGTCATCTCTGCCAGAGGCTCATTAACACTTTACAACAGCAAAGCCATGCCCACAAAGGGAAGGGATCTAAAGAAGATACACAAACAAAGGAGGTGAATGTTAAAAGTGGCTAATGAGAAGAAAACTCCACCTTCCTATCGCAGCACTTCAGAACAAGTAGCATTGCCAAGCACTAAGAACCTGGGGATTAAAGAGACAATTTAGGAAGACTTGATGCAGAGAATGGAAATCTCCTGAAAGGCATTAAAGAACATAGAAGATCAGCACATACATGTGGGGGTGGGGGGAAACATGGACAACTTTACAGGGACTAAAAGAAAAGCTGTTCAGAAATAAACCATGCATATATTTGATTTATTATAAAGGGAAATTTAAATTTAAAAAGGAATTTAAGACAGCACCAAAAGGGACAAGGTACATAAACTGTTTTTTTAAAGAGGGAATGGGGGCAGGGGAACATAATTCAAAAGGAGTTATTGCGAGAACAAATATATTTATTTGTAAACCTGCTTATTTTACAAAAATCCTTAGGATGGTATGAAAAGAAATTAAGTGTTTATTAGACAAAGAAATGAAAGCTCCATTCTACTGCTTCAGACCATTTATGTGATCTCATTTTTTAAATAAATATTTTCTTTTTCTTTTTTTCTGTTTTACACTGCCCCGAGGGAGATTTTGGCTTATCATCCAGAGAAAGCATGATCTCTCCACCTTAGACCTTTTCACCTGAGCATATCACAGCACTTTACAAGTTCGATAAGTAGTATTAGCTCCATTTTGCAGATAAGAAAACTGTGGCATTGGACCAGATTTTCCAATCTAGGTTTAAAATTGTGGGTATTTGGTTATAAGAAATACACTGGCTGCTTTGGTTCATAATTTAATTTGATAATGAAATCCTGCCTCACTGGAGGGGAATGAACAAGAGGATCTCTTGAGGGACTTTCCAGTCTTACATCTTTATGATTCCTAATAAGGATGCCACAGATGAGGAAATGAAACTGACATGGTTCTTCCTGAAAATTCAGGTTACTCTCACTTAACAGTAAAATAAGATAAGGGTTCTGTATCAGGTAAGCTAGCATGGATTCTCATTCTCTGCTGGCTTTGATGTACATAATGCATATCAGTACACAAAGTTCACAAATCATACACAGGGGCCAGACTGGATCCTGTCCTGGGCACCTATCCCCTTACTTCCTTGCACCAGCTATTGGCTTTGCACAAAATCTCTATTCCCTCTCCTGAGCAAGCGGGCAGAGAGTGGGTGGAACCCACACTCCTCTCTCTAGTGTGCTGGCACATGGGGTGAGACAGGCACCATGCCAGGCAAGGAGTTAGTACAGGTCTCCCCAGCCTCCCCCTGCCTTGGGAAAACTAGAAAGCAGATTCTGATTCTCTCAGTCACTTGTCATTCTCATTGAACCTTTAAAGAAGGGAAATTAAAATCTGTGCTTATAACACAGGGAAGATGATGGTGCTGCCTTGCACCTTGAATTGTCATACACCTGTGCACAGGGCAGCCCCTTTGGTCCGAGACAATGTTCCCTCTAAGATTTTCCATCCGTGATTGGAATGAGTTTTGTCTTGTGTGCCAATATTGATATCATGTGCTCTTGTTTGGTTGGGTGTTATGGTGGAGCTGATCAGTGACTAAGAATATATATATTGTTAGCGCTTGTTGTATAATAGGGCAGAAGATAGGTCAGGAGCTAAGGCATCAGCATAGTACATGGGGTTTTCCATAAGAAAAGTATTTCTGTCTCCTCCTCCGCCCTCCACTGCTCCCTCTGCCAGCCCTATGGCCCCAACTCCTGATGGCAGCAGCTGCCTGCCAGCCCCACAGCCCCAATTCCCAGTGGGAACAGCCACTCACCATGTGGCCTCAGTCCTGGCGGCAGCCACCTCCCAACATGGCTTTGGCTCTGGCGGCAGCAGCCACCTCTTGACGTGATCATGGTTGTGGCCATGGCCCCAGCCCCAAATATCACACTGCACCAGCTGTGGGTGCAGCCACGGAAGGTGAGCACTGATGCGTGGCTCTGCAAAGAAGGTGGGAGGGCTCAGAATTTTCTTTGAGAGTCTGCACAGGCATGCACCTTAGAGGGAACACTGGTCCCAGGGTGTGGACAGCACCTGGTCCTAGTATCTCCAGTCCCAGGGGGTTGGTGGCATGTCCCCAGCCTCGGTGAGGCTGAATCCCAGGCAGCCCCCGGAGACAGGAGCTGTGCTGATTGGGGAGGGCTGAGGACTGGACAGGGCCAGCCAGGCTGTTTGGGAAGGCATGATATCTGCCACCAATGCTCTAACTCATAATGTCAACTGTATCAGTGTTCTCAGGCTGAGGTATTTTTGTAGTGGGGAGAACAACTGCCTAAAGGATCCTGATTGTCCTCTAACTTAACTAGCTTTCCAGCAGCAGAACTCCTTTGTTTTTAATGGTGCTGTTCCTGATTTACATCAATGTGAGAGGAGGATCAGGCCCAGTGAGCTCTTACTGTGTTTATGTTGTAACTCAATATTCCCTCTTATGAAAGACAAATGCAAAGTGCTCCACTTAGGAAGGAACAATCAGTTTCACACACACAGAATGGGAAGCGACGGTCTAGGAAGGAGTATGGCAGAAAGGGATCTAGGGGTTATAGTGGACCACAAGTTAAATATGAGTCAGCAGTGTGATGCTGTTGCAAAGAAAGCAAACATGATTCTGGGATGTATAAACAGGTGTGTTGTGAGCAAGACACGAGAAGTCATTCTTCCGCTCTACTCTGCGCTGGTTAGGCCTCAATTGGAGTATTGTATCCAGTTCTGGGCACCGCATTTCAAGAAAGATGTGGAAAAATTGGAGAGGGTCCAGAGAAGAGCAACGAGAATGATTAAAGGTCTAGAGAACATGACCTATGAGGGAAGGCTGAAGGAATTGGGTTTGTTTAGTTTAGAAAAGAGAAGATTGAGCGGGGACATGATAGCAGTTTTCAGATATCTAAAA